TCTCGCTGTCGGCTTACAAACTGGAGCCCAGAACTTTGGCATGTTTGTCGCGGCGCGTATTCTTCTCGGTTTCGGCGACTGCATTGTCCTTGGCTCTGCGCCTCTTCTCATCGCTGAGATTGCTCACCCCCAAGATCGTGCTATTCTCGTGACCCTCAGTGGCGCGTCTTATCACTCTGGTGCATTTATTTCCAGTTGGGTCACTTACGGTACCCTCCAGATCAAGGTTCGTCCTCAACAAAACTATCGTAACTGTTATGGCGCTAACTCTGAAATCAGAGTAACTGGTCCTGGAGACTTCCTAGTCTTCTTCAGTCCATCTGCAGTGTCATCATCCTCGTCGCCCTCTACTGGATGCCAGAGAGTCCTCGTTGGCTCCTAAGCAAGGACCGACATGAAGAAGCCCTGAAGGTCCTGACTCACTACCACGCCGAGGATGACGCCGAAGATGAATTCGTCCAGCTCGAGTTCAGTGAAATCAAAGCAGCCATTGCCCTGGACAAGCAGATCGGACAAACCGGCTGGGCAGACTTCCTCAGGACCAAGGGTAACCGCAAGAGGATCGGTCTCATTACTGCCCTCGGTTTCTTCAGTCAGTGGAGTGGCAACGGTCTTATCTCTTACTACCTCAAGCAGATCATGGATAATGTCGGTATTACCAAGGCGGAAACTCAACTTGGCATCAATGCAGGCATGAAGACACAGGGTTTGATTATCAACACTGCTTTTGCCTTCTTCATTGACAAGCTTGGACGTCGTCCCATGTACCTGGCTTCTACTATCGGAACATGCGTTATTTTCAACTTCTGGACCATTGTTTCAGCTCGTTACGACATCGAGCCCAACAAGGCTCTGGGTTATGCCTTTGTTGCACTGACATTTATCTACGGCTTGTTCTACGATCTCAAGTAAGTACCTTTGACTCAACACAGTGGACCTTCAGAGATTAATCAATGCGCAGGTCCGGTCTCATGGCCAACTACACCACCGAGATTCTTCCCTACGGTCTCCGAGCCAAGGGTTTCACCTGGCTCAACTTCTGTGTCACTGCCGCGCTCTTCTTCAACCAGTACATCAACGGTATTGCCCTCGAGGCCATGGGCTGGAAGTACTACATCATCTATTGCGTGTTTCTTGGTTTCGAGGTGTATATCATCTACTTCTTCCTCATCGAGACCCGCTACACCCCCATGGAAGAAATTGCCAAGTACTTCGATGGCGACGAGGTGGTCGATGTTGGAGAGGTTGCTCGTGCTGATATGAAGGAGCGAGGTGTTGGTATCAATGAGGTGGAGTCGAAAGGAGCTCGTGCTGTTGAGGTTGAAATGACGAGGTAGTGATGCACAAGTTCAAGGACTGGTGCGTAGAACAGAGAAAGGAAGAGAGGGTCCTATAGCAAATATGCCAAACATGATATGGATTAGTCTATTCCTGTAATGAAATTCATTCTTCATATTCGCTTGCTCATGACGAAAGCAGAGTGATGTCTGTAGTATGTTTTTACATGATGTCACCTGTTCATCTATTGGATCTATCACATACTATAGTACAGTTCTGTGCAACAGATCCGACAACGAGACAACGAAGGATATTTATCATGAAGACATATAGAACATGTAGTACTAACAGACTTTATACTATCTTAGGATAAGATCTTATAATATTATTTAGATTAAGAAGAGTTTAGGTCAATTTATACCAGGTGGAATAAAATCTAGAAGGGTTGAGTGTAGCTTACAGAATCATATATAAATTCTGAGGAATTTATCAAAACTCTTACACGCTCACTGTGCATTGGTAAGAACGTTCCAAAGATAGCTGACAGGTCATCCAGAACCTTGTCGCATAATAATATTTACACTAGAATTTGCTATCAACCGTAAAGGCCAGCTTGGGAGACTATCAACACACAGAAAGGCAAAATACCCAAGAGCATCAAGCTCTAACTCCACCACGAAACAACGTGACCGCCCCAGCATTCACATCTTAAAAGTTGGAGGTACCCTTGGTGACCTGGCCGGACTTGAGGGCAACGTTCTTGATGATGACCTGCTTGTTGTTGACGCTGGTGACGCGGACCCAGGCGGTGTTGTTGGGCAGAGTTCCCTTGAGGACATACATGTTGGGGTCCTTGAGAGTCGTGCTGCGCCATGTCTTGCCGTTGTCGCTGCTCACGTCGACGGCCTTGGTGCGGTGGGTGGCGTTCTCGATGGTGGCGGCGAACCAGTACTGGGAGGCGCCACCGTGCATGTGGACTTGGAGAGGGGTGGAAGCGGGAAGAGGGCATGCAATCCACTTCCACTTGATGCCATCGACACCACCGCCTCGCATACCGTTGGTCAGTTTGGACCAGGTAGCAGGGGTCATATCAAGATGACGAGAATCTCCGCCCGTCTTGTTGGTCACCTAGTTTGATTTAGCCATTGAATATAAAGCATCCTCTTGTCGTTTTGAACTTACCATAATTTTAAGCGTTTTTCCACCATACGAAACTTGAATGCAGCCACCGCAGTTGGCACCGTTGTCCCAGATATCCTCAGAGATACAAGTGGATCCGTCAATACCAGGAGGCAGCTTGTAGTCAACAAAACTGCAGGCACCCTTTTGCCAGCAATTCTCCTCGGTGCAGCCGTCAGCGTCGCCGTAGCGGGTTCCGAGGCCGGTGAAAGTAGGGTTGGGGGTGATGGCTTTGGCCGAGACAACCGTCGAGGCTGCGGCCAGAAGGGTCACGAGAGAGGCGGAAAGGCTACCGAAGAACATGGTGGCGTTTGGTAAGATGAATGGAAAAGTAAGGACTGTTGAAATGAATGGAAGATGAATATACGACTTTGAAAAGAATGTGAGGCTATGTGAATGAAAGAGCTGATATTGGAGGCTACTGAATAGTGAGCACCCACAGCCTTATATATCTGCCAAGCAATTTCCGGGCTGACGAAGTTGAGGCACTGTCATTGTCCCCTCCAATTTCCAGATGCAGAACCACAATCACCCCAGGACATACCATTCTGTGACCCCTGTCCCGTGTCCTGTATCAATTTGGAACATTAAGCCTGATTTACTAGTCTAGGGTTGGTCGTCTGGGTTCCCCAGTTACAGCTTTCAAAAAGGAAAAACAATCTCCTCATGCTTCTCGTCTAGTCGTTTCATTCTAGAACTCCCTTAATATCTGCTAATGCCGATTTCCCGTGAGAGTTTGCGCTACCCGTTTCAGAAGTGACAGGATCCTCCCGGTCGTCTTGAGTGGGGCTTCCCGATTTGGCGGGATGCCAATCAAACAAAACGAGCTCAACCTTGTCATCCAGAACATTCGGCGGTCGATTTTCGTATTTTATAACGAGATGAGCAAGTTTTTGAACACGAGATTATGTTACATCGCTGTGAAACCGTGAGATTTTCCATATTTAATCAAGATTCAACCGTGGTTCTGGACTTGGCTTCCTTGTTTCAAACCTGACTAATCCCATTCGATGAGGGTGTGTAGCTGGAAATAAGTCTTGCATAATTATAGGACTATTTGCCTTGATTTTTAGTGAATGTGCGGATAGTCGTTCCAGGTCCAAACCTCATACTACATGATCTCTATCGTTTCGCAAATGACTGGTTAACGTCTTCATTGCTCTGGCTTTCTGCCAGTAACAACCAACAGGTCAAACAGAGGATGAACTGATCTCTGTCGCGATGCCTCCCTAACTCGAACATTGAAAAGCTCAACCTCCTCACGCGACCATCCTAGTACCTCCGTAAACAACACTGCGGTGAAAGCAGCAACGCCCTCTTTCATGTTGATACCCATCAGCGTACCAATCTCTTTCAGCCGTTCGTCTTTTGGCCAAGGACCGATAGGAAGCTTGAATTTCTCCTCTTTGACATCATCGAATCCTGATTCCTCTAACCATTGTCGAAATGACGGTGCAGGGTCCATAGTTCTGCCAATCTTCTCACAGGCCAACTTGAGGTGGTCCATCATTTCCACCAAGGCGTTGTCAGGCTTGAGCGAGTCGTCTTCTGAGTAAAGTGTGTTTGCTGTCTCTTGGAGCTCGATGTAACCTCCAGGCTTGAGGTTGGCGTACGCTTGTTTCAACAGGCGGGGCCAGTCTTTGATAGAGCCTGCCATATAACGGCAGTGGATGTAATCATAAGGTTCTGGCTCCACCCAGTCTGCCTCCACGTCGTCGATGATGAACTTGACATTCGGAGGGACCCAGTCTGGTTGGATCGGGCTAAGGTCGTTTCCAACAACTGTGGAAGAAGGGTGATCGTCTCCAAACTGAATAGCCCAGATACCAGTACCTGTGCCAATATCAAGGACATTCAGTCCTTCTGGCTTGACAGGCGCAATGAACAAACGGTCGTCAATCGTACGAGTGAAAACATGGTGAATCATGTCAAGGCGATCCTGCTCCTGATCATCATTGGGGAAGCTGTATTGGCCTGCCCGGTCGCTGTGATAGCGTCTTCCATGTTTCCACTTGTACTTGAGCACGCTACTGGCGATAGAGGTGCTCCCGGCCACAGAGTCGGTGGTATAGGTGGAGTCAGCAGAGGATGCGACATCCTCGTCCACCTGGACTTCAGGCGTGATTGGGATTTCCGACATCGTGGTGGCTTGCGATAATAAATCTCAACAATGCTGAAGTGTTAGGATGAAGTGCGTGCCATCATATCATCAGAGCGGGGCTAGCCGAGGTGGTGGAAAAACTCTCACTCGGTTGGAGTTGTGGATTACAGGGGTCACTGATGATCTCCAGTACTGATGGACCCTTGCGGTTATCGCGATAACAAGGCGCAAGTCACGATAGCGAGACTGCACATCATAAATAGTGTATTTAGGTCTAGACGTTCAGGTCCAAGAGCTCTCAGCAATGATACATTTAGAAATGGTTTACATGGAAAAGTTCCAATAGTCTCAGTTGTCGTTAAGTTCGTTCTTGCTGATTCATGCTTCTCACGATCTTTATATGTAAGATTATGAGTAATAAATGCATCAACCAATCAAACCAGACAACGTGGCCGAGTGGTTAAGGCGATGCCCTGCTATCTCTCTCTGAGACATCATAGGCATTGTGTTCGCACGCGTAGGTTCGAATCCTGCCGTTGTCGATCAATTTTTGTTGCACAGCTATAATTTGAGTCTGACTGAGTGGTGTGTTTTTACCGTTGACGGCCATAAGCTCTTTTTTTAACGACTGCCATTGTCCGTATCTACATGAAGTTTCTATCTTCGTCTCTATAATTCAAGATCGTAACATGCGATGACGGGCGTCAACATGAAGAGATAAACCGAGAAGGACGGCGTTAGAGTCAGTGAGAACTTTCAGTTCAGTCTCAGTTTAAAGGAACTAATTTGTATTAAATAGCCCTAGTTAAGAAGCGCTTAGCTAACTGCGGCATTGGCATATCAACAAAGCTGGGATGGTAAATTATCGAAGTCAATTGCACAACAGAAGTATAGTTAGAGAACTTTAAGTCTCAGATGCCTGTAGTTTGTATTGACAAGTCACGTCGAATGATGTATACGTACCTATAACGAAGATGCATACCCACGTGTTTAATATACTTCGCGAATAGATTGATTTAAAGCAGGTTACAAAGAAACTCTAAAAGCGAGCTAATATAGCCAGAACTTATTACCGGTTAGTTGTTAGCAGTATTCCAATTTACACTTGCTTACGGTATTAGTCCCTTAGGCATTTAATTAAGATGGTGCATAGTGACATGGTTGGTGGAAATGGATAGTCCGGCTCTGTGGCTTTTCTTCCGGCCACGTGACCCATGACCTTAGTGACCTCAGCCGGTCACTAAGCTAGATTGGGAAGCTCCGCGGCGCAGAACAGTACTGACTCCAAGGATATTGCACTAGGAATACGGAGTACGGAGTAGGTCCTAACAAACAGTGCTGGCCCAGAAGAACAGATCACAACCCGTCGCGGACTAAGAAGTACCGCAAGCCCCAGTCTTCTGCGGAATGGAACCGGACTTGGCCGACTTCAAGTATCTCCTACGCACTGTACAGTCGTGGCTGGGTGCTCCACCATCCAGTCGCGTAACGCGAGGCGCGTAAGACATGTACCTACCATCAGTGACAGCCTTTTCGCTGGTGAGCTCACGACCAGCCTCGCTTATTGAACGTATTCCTTCAAGGGCGAGTCAGCGGTAGTGGGTCCGCATTCTGTATTCTTAAAGTTTGACGGCATGGCACAGGTGGTGGGGATGTTAGTGATTTGGCCATGTTGCAGTGCGCTTGTCTAGCAAAAGCTGCCAATAAATTCTGGCATGGGGACGATGTAGGGTAATTATGTCCAGTTTCAGTTTCTTCAACCTGTCACCCCATGAGCATTTGAGAACATGATGATTAATAATGCGGCTGTATCATTGACACAAAGTCATTTTTTCAGCGACCTCACTTTTATTTTCGTGTTGCATTATGTTATTGTGGTGATCCAAAGACTGTTTTCCCACTTTGCAAAATTTGATTACTAGCATGATGAAGTGTCAATCGATGCCAATGGCGTATCACAGAGACTTGGAAAGAAAGAACATCAGTAAACAACGAATATATAGTTCCGACTTCAGGAATGCGCTTTGTTCACTATAAGCATCCCAAAAAGCAATATACTTCAATACATTTTCAGTCCTCACCCAAGACCTCACAGTCTTCCCTCATTCGTTTCAGTACATCTCCTTTCGTTTCTGTACCATGTACACTATCCTTCGATTCCAGGTGTGGTAGAATTTACTTCAACCGCTGAAGATACCATAATCATTATCCCAGGAACCACAGTAGAGTCTAATAGCCATACCACCGCGCAAACTTCAGCAGATGAGACAAACACCGATGATGTTGTTGCGCAGTCCACAATGGATGTTTTAATCATAATTAGCTCCACATCTACTATTGGCTTAACGACTGAATCCTTCACTGAAGAGTCGATCACCACCATCACCACCACCATAACCGAGTCCATTACGGAGAGCACCACGGAAACCTCATCAGACAACAACAACCACCACAACTGAAGAGACAACAACGGACATTCCAGCCATGACCACCATCACATCTGCAGATTCAATAAATGAAACCGCCACCGACGCCGCGACTACCACCACAACAGAGACCCCACAGCTTGTGTGCCCTTCCAAAACACAGCAGTGCTTTAGAACCCTGTTGATCTATTGTGATAATATTATTGGGGGTGTTCCGCTCGTTAGTTCACCTACCACTGCTCAGGAATGCTCTCAATCCTGTTTGACAAGTTCAGCATGTGTTTGATGGACCCAGTCTGGAAACCAGTGCTTTCAGTCCGGCGATTCAACTGTAGCGAGCAACAGATTCAGTGTACAAGGTTGAACTAGCGGCATAAAGGGGCAGTGTTAAGTTGCAAGGTCAAGGCATATAACATTTTCCTTATCTCCAGGTATTTCCGATTTTATTCTAGGATGTGTTCAATGATGTTGTTTTAATTGACAACCGAGCGGCAGGTCTCATAGCTGATATTAAGATCTTATTGCTTGGTTCTGATTCCACAATCAAAAACCTTGTTTTACTATACGAAAAGTACTGGCTGCTTATGAAGAGAAGTCTTTTAGGTAATCAATGCACCTCTTGATACGTTCTGTCGGTAATCATCGGGATATCCATATGCCAAGAACCCGAGTGGCGAGACAGCGGAAATCCTCTCCCCCCATTCAACAGGGGCACCCCGTTTAAGATATCAGATACGAAGGGCCTAAAAGAAGCATTGCTCTGATTGTCGTATTCCAATTTAAGCTTGAATGATAAATGACGGGCCGGCTCAACCTTAACAGACAACAGCCAATGATAACATACATACAGTACGTGTAACTATATCTGAATAGGCAGGTACTTAGAATCCTTCGTCCGGGTACGGATCCCCCGTAATCCTTCGATTAAGAAATGATATTTAATACGTTTGATTATGTTTTCTGCGGCGTAGTTTCGAGGGAATGCATAAAGTTCAGTAATCAACACAATAGGAGTCATAAAACGAAAACTTAAGTTTATAGAACTAAGTCCAATAGAGTACTCATTATAATTAACAAAAGATAGCTACTTTACTGAGTAATCTCCATTTTAAGTACGGAATATAATCTACAACTGTATTGAACTTTACTGAAAAGAAGTGAGAAATAGTAAAACACAAGTACTACATGTAGATAGAACCAAAATAGGAAGGTACTACTTAGGCAAAAGATAAACAGTGCCACAAGCAAGAAGCTTGGAAGGATCGGTAGTAAAGATCAAATAGGAAGGAAGACTGGAACGACCTAGTATCTAACCAAGATCGTACAACATGTAGACCAAGCAGTCAAATAGGTATCTACGCATATAAATATGAGGATGCCCTATACTCACATTGTAGTCTATCACCCTTTTTATCATCAACAATTTCACAACAATAACAACATCACAAACCACAATCACCTCCTCCTTTCAGTATGAAGTTCTTCACTGCTGCTCTCTTCGCCCTCTCGGCCTCAGCTGCTGTTGCCGTGCCCGCTGAGTCCCAAGACGCTAAGATTCAACGCTTTTATGACGCAATGACAAAAGTGCAAGAAGCCGCTTCCGTCCTGACAAAGCCAGATGATGGGGCTGTTCATGCCCGCGGACCAGGCCCATTTTGCTTCGGGTGCCGTGATGGTCAGGAGTGCTGCCAGGGAGATCTTTTCTTTTACTGCCGACCATGCTAGAGCCTAGTAAGTATAACTCAATCCATATTCAACTGACATTTGCTAAGTTTGTGCTTCAAGGGAATCGATTTCTAGGGCCATATCTAGAAGTAACCTGTTGATGTGGTACTGTCTTGTTACGCACAAACGACTGTCAATGCTGTACTCAGGGGCCTTAAATGGAAATACTTTAGTTTAGTAGTAGATAGCTCAATATCCGTTTACCGGCTGAACTGAATTATCCATACGAAACCATTGGTGAGCTTATGATTACAGTCCTCCGTGTTATTAATATTTTACGCCAGTACCGAAATGACAATGAAAAACTTTACCACTCTGTGTAAATTTCTAACTAACCAGTCTATAGGTATGACAATTCGACTATACTATTAATTGAACTACTATAACCTATCTAATAAATTAAAATTCTTACTAAACCTAATGCTCAAGGCTAGAATGTCTCACCTGGATATTTACATACTACATATAAACTCTAACGAAGTAAATATATACAACTTAAATATATACATGCTTGCTTTTCATTTTATGTTTTTTAATTTGTTTTATATTGTAAGAATTATTCATGAGTTACAGTATTAGAATATGGCAAAAATGAAATGACCTACGTATCGTAGGTGGCTGGATCTCTCCCGCCGGGAATTGAACCCGGGTCTCAAGCGTGACAAGCTTGCATACTGACCACTATACTACGGAAGACGAAACAGGTTTAAACCTGCTGTAGTGGGGGTTGCGCTTGGGTGTCACAGCACGCATGATATCGCCAGTCAGTTCTATCAGAGAAGGAAATCACAGTCGAACAGGTCAGATGACGGATAAGAATCACGCAGTCAACATGGAATTCGACAATCCCAGCGGGAGTATGACCCTGAGACTGTGCTAAAATCTGGGCTGGCAAGCCGGTAAGAGGTTAGGATAAAAAGAGAGAAGGGGAAGAATCGTATAAAAGAATATATAACAGCAGGGATTCGTTGGTCATCACAGACCTAACTACTAATCCACCGGTTAGTGGATTGACTGTGAGAGAATGTATAAGATCCTATATTCTCTACTGCCTTTGGTCATATATATTAGATGATTTAAGCTTGATAGTAACGAAGGTAATGTTTTCTTTGCTCCAGATGCTTCAATGGTAAGCCATTCGTGTTGTTTGACACTAACAGTTCAGTTGGACCAGTGCCTAGGTGGGGGGAGTTCGATAACAAGATCAAGTCTGCCAAGATGATGATGGCGGCGAGAGATAACTGTAAGTTTAAGTGCAAATGCTTTGTCGTTGGCCTCAGATATGCCTCCTGTTTGCCTGTTTAGTTGACGGCCTTTACGGTTGGCCGTGTCCATCAACCTTGTTGGGGTAAGATGCTGTCGATCGACGGTCCGAGTCGTCACATTTCTTT